GCCCCCCCCCCGCCCCCTCCCCCCCGCGCGGGGGGTGTTGCCGCCACTGTTGCCGCTCAGCTCGCTCGCTCGCTCGCTCACTCACTCACTCCCAAGCGAGCCCGCCGCTGTCGCAAAGCTAGTCTCAGCCGCCAAGCGAGACGCGCAGAGCGACAACCCGAGCACACTGCTTTACGGCAGCGCTTCGGCGAGTGCTTGTTTCCACGTGGACCGCCGAGAAGGAGAAGAAGGTCTGGTCCGGCCGCCATGAAGCGACCTAGTAAGTACTGCAGCAACTGTGGGAAATAGGTGTGGGCCGGTTAGGGAAGTCGAGGAGTCGGTTCATAACCCACGACTGGAGAGACGCGGGGAAGGAACTCCGCATAGGGTGCCCCTCCCCGGCGTTTGCTTCGCAGCCGCTCAGGCCGAAAGCGATCTAGAGCGGGAGGGCCGCCTGCTCTCCAGAAGTAAAGGTTCACATTATGGGGGAGAGCCGTCAAGAGGGGAGATTCTGCTTCTGTAGGAGGCGAAAGTGGGAGACGCATTTCTGTGCAAAAGTAGAGAAGACTGCAAGCTCTCGTCGTAGGATTAGTGTAGAGTCGTGCTCTGAGCAGGCACACACGATCTAGGCCAACTTTACCCATCCTGATGTTCTCCAGATGCGTTGGACTGCTACAGTGCCCATCTTCCCTAGCCAGCAGAGCAACGAGGGCTCGAGATCGGAGAAGTCTATTGGTGACATGGCTTGCCTAGGTCGCCCCCGAAAGCTGATGCGAAATTGAGTAGCAAGAAGCAAAGTAAAATTCTAATCAGAGTCTAGAAATGCGGCCCTGTTCGCACTTCTTATCTCGATTTTCTGAGGATTTCATCGGTATGGCTTCTTCTGAACATGAACTTGTGTTCTCAAACAGGAGGAGTTAATTAAATCTCTACTTGCAGTCTAAAATAACTTTATTGTGTTTATTAACCAGCACAAAATCTCTACTTGCACTGGTGAGTTCTGGCTGTTTAAAAGTTTTGTCCAATGAACAGAAGAGCTTGCAGTATTAAAACATATATAAAGAAGGGGAAAAATCATGAGAAAAATGCAAAGATATTGTATACCATGTCAACCAAACATTTATCTGTTGTTACTTTAATGGCCGCAGACTATAAGCAATTGTGACTAATCCAAAATGAATTCTACGAGATTTAAATTTTAAGTACTGTGGAACCAGAAAATATTACATTCCTAATCATATTGTGTGTGTTTGTATGTGTGCACGTGCACATGTAAAGGTGGGATAAAAATCTAATAATATCAGCATAAGACCAAGTGAATTTCATGATGCTGCTGTCTGGAAAAATATTTAGGATACCTAAGTAATCTGGGCCTACGCAGGCATTCTCCTTCCTACTTATTAAATTCCGCCTCTGGATTCATAGGTGTGGAGGAGTAGTGTGGCACACATTTCACTTGTTGGCTATATGGTGATAGAATTTAACTTCTGGCATTTTTGCCTTTCAGAGTTGAAGAAAGCTAGTAAGCGCATGACCTGCCACAAACGTTATAAAATACAGAAAAAGGTAAGTTTGTATTTTGAATTCCTGCTTAACAAATGTGGGATAAGATTGGTTCTAAGCTATCTGCTTCTCATAATCTGCAGTTAATACAGATATGTAACATAGGTGTGCAACTTTTTGAAAGTGACTGTCATACTGAGGGCTTTTACCCACAGCTCAGTTAAAGTGCATTCCACCACCTGCAAGCACAGAAAAATAAATAAGTATGGATTTTGCTGTTCCAACTGTGAATCCCAGTTGTCTCTGTTCTGGCTTGCAACTAGAGAACAACTTCCTTATTTTACATACAGGGAAGACCGCCCACCCCCATTTCTCAATCATACAGCCAGTGGGAAAATCGTCTACCAATATCATCATTGCTGTGATTGGGGTTGTTTTGACACATGTCATTTAAGCCATTTGTCAGAACTCACGCCCCCTTCCCCTGCCATTTCTGAATTCCAGATATGAGTTGTCAGATAACAGGGCGGGAGAGATGATAGTTGAAAACGCTTTACCTGCCAGGACTCTGATTCCATGAATCTGCTGTTCCATAAGCTTGGAGATCTAGGAGCTTTGAAAAGGCTGTCCCCCGCACCCTTGTACCTGCTACCTCTCCTAACCCTGACAGCTGATCCCCAATCTGAGAAAAGTGAAAGGAAAGAAGGATGATATGAAAGATTGTGGGGAGATTGAGAAAGCAATGGGAGAAATGTTAGAATAAGCTATAAACAGATAGAAGAAGAGTTTGTTAATAACGTAGACAGTAGCTCAGCTCAGGTTGTAAAATGTCTAGGAAGAAGGAATCCAAAATATTCAAACAAATTCTGCCTTAACTCATTAATAAATGAAGGCTGGATGTTCCTATCATAATTTCCAAGATTCCTGACTTTACTCCTAATCCTTGCATTAAAACACCTTAGTGAAGTCTGTGTAATTATTGCTTCCTTGATTGTGCCCTGATGTGAGGGGCTTGACAGACGAGTCAGTTGCATGAGCTGAAAGGTGGCAGGGGGCATTGCATGATATAGCAGGAGAGCTCCCTTCCACTTTGTCATGCAGCCCTCCTCAATAGAACCTGTCACTTGTCAATCAGGCTATTTTAAAAAACAGATTTAATGCTCTTTTGACAGGAATTGTTTAGTGAAGCAGGAGAGAGTTGATTCACACAATCCTTCCCCTTGTGCTTCTTATTTGTTGTTTGGGTTCCTTTGAATACAGATCTAGCCCTTATCTGGAGGAGCACTAAACCTGTGTTCAGTAGTAGCTCAGACAATAACAGGTATGGAAGGTTTGTGCTGTGAAGCTGATGGTAGTTACTTTTGAAGATCCCTAGGGGTCAAACCAAGGTCTTTAGGGGCTGCATGGCATGCAGTCCTGGTGCCTCCCGTTGTGCTTTTCTGGTGAAAGATTGATTACTACTGCATCAATCAGCCTTCTCCAACTTGATGCCCTTTAGATTTGTTAGGCTCCAGTTCCTATAATTGGAAGCTTTTGGATAACATACCTAGGGGATACCAAGGAGGGTGAGGAAAGTCTGGAACAGATAGAAATACATCTTAAGATTTGAATCCATTTCTGAGAAATGTGGAAAGGACATAAAGTTCATGACATAATTAGCTCTTCAGTGCTATAATTCTTGCTTCAAGAATTTTTGGTTCAACATTCCTTCATCTTCCATTCTCCTCCTTGAATGTCTTCAGTTTAATGACCCTATTTCTCATCAGTTACCTTCAGAAAGGAGTAGAAAACTGCCATGATAACACTGAATAACACTGCAGAATTGTTTTAAAATAGAAGTTCCAAACTTTCTTGGTTCATGACACCCATAATATTCAACAGATGTTGAGTATCACCGTGCTTCCCTCAAAAATTTAAAATATCCCGCAGTGCCCCAGTGAATATGCTGGGATACCATGGCGCACAGTTCGGGAACCCTGCAGTTTTAAACTAATGTTTTTAGAATTCATGCTTAGGGGTAACCTAATTATTATAGTTTATGTCACACTTTTGATAAGTAAAGGTTAGAAAGGAGGAGTAAACAAGTAAACTAGTATTTTGTATAGCATCCATAGCCAGCTCAAAATAGCAAAGAGTATTGTACATTCAATAGTACATTCAAATCCAAATTTGTGTCCCTTCTGTTTTCATTGCAAGATGTACTCATATCCAGTTGCCTGCCACATCTGTGTTCTGATAATTAATTGCCCATCTTATTTAATGAGATGTGTCCCTTACATACTAAGAATGTGTAGCACAGACAGCGTTGAAGTATCTATATGAGGAAGAAAGATGGATGAAAAAGTCTCAACTTCTTTAACAGCAAAAGATTGCCGCTGTTTTTATAGGTACGAGAACACAATAGAAAACTCCGAAAAGAAGCCAAGAAACATAGGCACAAAAAGCCAAAGAAAGATCCTGGGGTTCCCAATGCCGCCCCATTTAAAGAAGAGGTTCTTCGGGAAGCTGAACAAAGGAAGCAACAGGTAAAACAGCTTAAACTTTGGCATGTAGTCATATATAATTGTACAATCAACCATTTTTATTAAGAGCAGAACTGATATTTTCTGAGCACGTATCAGCAATTTTAAGACTATTATTCCATGTTTGCTGGGATTATAGGAAAATATAATTTTGTGTGTTTTTGCATATCCTTGTATATCTGCTAAATTAAAACATATCTATGCCACCTGTCATGCAGTGCATGATGTACAAAATACTGTACAATGAAATGCAGTAACCAGATAAACACTAGAAGAATGGTCATAATTAGTTTTAAAGCAGGATCAGGAGATTCTGATTGTCATAGTGTATAAGAACATTTTTATATTTTGTGTTAATAGCGTGAAGAATTGAAACAGAAGCAAAAACTTGCTCGGCAGAAGGAACTAGAAAAGAAACGTAACCAACAAGCAAATAAAAAGGATGCTAGTGATGAGGTATGAATTTCTAGGAAAGCACTACATTTAAATTATGTTGACTGAAGGAGAGAAAGATTCCATTAACTTGTAAAATCACATTTGTTTCTTTCAGAATAATTGTACCCTGAGCCTTTGCATTTGTAACTGTGTACCTAGTCATGGGGGAAGAGTGATCCAGCCCATGGCTACTCCAGAGTAAAGTACAGCAAGGCTCAGTCCTCTCCCCCACATTGTTTAGTATCTATTTGAAAATGCTGTGGGAGGTCATCAGGGACTAGATGGGGGAAAATAATCTCAGACCTAACTAGCATGATGGAGATGCTGGTTGTCTAAGCATCTTGGCTGTCTGGAAATATTGCATCCCATGGTTGTTCTAGATAGCATGCCATTCCCCCTGAAGGAGCAATCTTGAGGATCCCCCTTGATTTATGGGTTAGGGGGCCTTTGTCCAGCTTCAGCCAATGCACAAATTATAGCCTGTCCTGGACCAGGAAGCCTTGGTGACTGTAACTTATACTCTGATCACCACATGACAGGATTACTGCAATACACTCTACATGGGGCTGCCTCTACAGTGTGCTGCAACTGGTCCAGAATATAGTAACTAGACTGCTTGCACTGAAGACTCCTCATTGCAGAGTGGCACCTACTTTGCAGTTGCTGCGCTGATTGCCAATAGACTTTGGAGCCCAATGCAAAATGCTGGTTATTACCAATAAAGCTTTATTCAGTGTGGCACTGGGTTATGTCAGGGATTTACTCATTATGATCCTCCTTGAATATCTAGATAGGACCTACTTAAGGTTCCACCCCCACGGGAAGTAAGGGGAAAAGGAATAGGCCAGAAAACAGGTCTTCTCTGTAATAGCCCCTGTGTAGTAAAACCCACTGCCCCCAAGGTGTGCATGGCCCCTTCCCTTTGCTGTTTCAGAAGGTACTGAAAACCATTCTGTTTTAGCAGACCTTTGGCCCCTAATGAGGAATTGTGGGTAACCATTTGGTTTTACATTTTATGGTGTTTTTCAATGTGTTAAGAAGGGTATTAGTTGGGCTAGCGTATTATGTTTTGCACACTGCAGAGTCCCTGGATTGGGGTGGTAAATAAATGCTGCAAAATAAATGAATGAACTTTTATCATTGCTCCCCATTATTTCAAGTGATACTAGATTCCTAGTTTCCAAATTTTCTTCTGATTTTTACATTTCTTATTTTTAGAAATCAACTACAAAACAAAAAACAAAATCCAAACAGCAGGTAGAAAAAAATTCAAAAACATCATTTTGCGGGGAGTTAAAAAAGGTGAGAAAGTTTTTTTTCCCCATCAGATTTCATACTTATTTCAAAGATTTGCAATTCTTTTGAGGCATTTTTCAGATAAAAGAAATGTTATATAAGGAAAAGCTATTATCTTTATTTCTAAAAGAGCTATTAGTTTGACAACTTATAATAGCTTAAGGGTTGCTCTATATAAACCAGTTGCTCCTGTTCTGAGAAAAGACATTTAATGAAGATCTTCAGTATCCTAAGTCTAAAGTTACATCTATGGAAATGCTTGTTACATCTTTTTTTTCTTACAAATTTCTAAAATCATAAATTATATTTTTCTTGATAATAATTATTTGAACTATTCAGCATTGCATCCAATATGATCTCTTGCCAGTGACATGGAAACATTGGCAAAATATCCTCCTCTCTGCTTCATCTTTGTGTCCTCCTTCCCTCTACCCTAGAGCAAATGGAGGATTTAGGGAAGGAGAGAGCAAGGGGAAGTCCCACAACCTGAGCAGAAGAGTATTTTTTTCCCCTACATATTGCTTTTCAATATATTAGAAGACAAAAAAAATAACAATGGCAAAAGTATTCTAAATTTATTCAAAACTCTTCTTTCCATTATAGTTTTCTCTTAAGTTTTGAAGATGTGCATATTTTTATTTGTATTTATATCCTACTTTTTATAAAGGCATTTGTAGTTAGTTTTATGTTTATATTTGAATGTTTCCCAGCACTCTTTTATTTTAGTATGGTTTCTACTAAGAATACCATGAGTTTGATATGCTTCTGAAAACAATGGAAAATTAAGTCCTCAAAGAATGTTGTATTCAGTTTGTTAGAGAAGCTTTTTTAAGTGCATTTGAATCACTCTTTTAAATTAGCTTGATAGCAGAATAGTACTGGGAAGGTCATGACTCAGAAGCTTTCAAGTGTAAATTAATCCTATGCCCTCAAATGCCTAATTGTTCTTTATTACTCTTTAGGTGATTGAGGCTTCAGATGTAATACTTGAAATCTTGGATGCTAGAGATCCTCTAGGCTGTAGATGTCCACAGGTTGAACAACTTGTTGCTCAGTCTGATGGAAGGAAAAAATTACTTTTGGTTTTAAATAAAATTGGTAAGTAAAATGAGTAACGCTTTTTACTCTACAGAAACTTTCCAGCTCTATTCATAGGCCAGTTAAGTCCAATGATTTAAAAATCTCTTGTGTGAAATTTAGAAATGAAAATAAGAGACTGGTCCATTTTGCTTAAATACTAGTAGAGGCTGGATTGGCTTGTATTTAAGCTATAAAGCTTGACTATATTGTTGATTACATTATCTGCCAGTTAAATAATTCTTCGGTAGGATGTGAGCTGTGAGGAAGCCACAAAAACTTGCTGACCTGCATCTGGAGACGGTCAGATCCAACTCTGAGCTCACTGTTCTTGCTAAGGAGGCATAGCTGATTCTAGTAGTTCCCATCCTGTAAAAACAGCTGGGTTACACCCATGCAGTGTTTTTATCCTGTGAAAATCTTCACAAGCATTTTGCCTTCTAAGCTGCTGAAGGGCACTCAAGGCATTATTCCCACTTAGTGGGTGGCCCTGTGTTGAAAGAAACTGAAATAAAGCTGACTATGGAAAGGCTTTTATTAAAAGTATTGATTACAGTGTGCTTCATTCTGTTCTGCTGAATTTAAACTTCAAATTTGTATTGATCTGCCTAGATATGTATGTCAAGCTCAGAATACATCTAGTTTGCTGAAGAGCTTAGAATTGTCTCTGGAAGGGGGATTGTCTATGTATTCCTGCGAATATCCTCTGGAGGATGATACCTTTCTTTAACTTCTAAAGTACCAATGTTGCTCACGGGAAGAATGTATTATATGTTAAATTATGTAGCCGTATGTAAAATAGTAACTATTTTGGCTGCTAGGGGGTGTGTTGTTAATATTTTACAATCTGTTAATTGCACAATAAACTTAATTACTTAATAGGTTTTATTGGTTTCAATACTCTTCAGGAACTATTGCTATAGTTACCATTTTTAATATGTTCAAGCTGGACAACTTCATGAAGTTGATGAATAATATGCCTCATAATACTTTTGAGAAATGTACTGTATTCCAGGCTAAATCTAAATCCAGTGAAGTAGAATCTTATTGTTGCACCAGTCAGTTTAATTTGAACAATTTGATAGGGTCTGTGAGTAATAGGAGTTTCTATGTGAAAGAAACACAAATAATGGGGCCTACAAGTCTTGGACATTAATTTTATTAAAAATTGCATCAAAATAAAACGTGGAGTAATACTTTATCTTTCTTGCTACAAACAGGCAGAAGTACTCTTTATATGGTATACCTCTAATGATCCTCCAAGACTTTAGAGAACAAGAAGTTACAGGTAGCTGTAAATAGTTTTCTATATTTAGTGAGTAGCCCACAAATGCTGATGCTATAAAAGTCATAATACACTATCTTTTTAGAAGTAAACCTGAAAGGCGTGAGGAATCTGGTAGCATCTTTTCTGACTAGCAGATTTTATTAAAAGGCTAATAAATTTCGTGAGCTGCAGCTTACTTCATCAGATGCCTTTTAATAAAATTTGTTAGTCAGAAAATGTGCTATCAGATTCCTTCTGATTTTTTGCCCCATAGATTCTCCTCTTACGATGTCTGAAAAGCATATATTGTCATACCACAGCATAATATTTTTACAGCCAAGCTTCTGTATGTTTTTTCTCCCAGATCTGATACCAAAAGAAAACTTAGAGAATTGGTTAAGTTATTTAAATAAAGACCTTCCAACTATTGCTTTTAAATCTGCAATGCAGATAAAAGACAAAACTGTGGTAAGAATATATTTTCCTGTCTTCTGTAATGGTACAAAATGTGTTGTTTTTATAATAATATAAACAAGCAAACAACAAATTGATAAAAGACTAAAGATAACATGAAATCATTTCCTCCTATTTAATAAACCTGAATAAATTAGCATTCCTGAACATATAGCAATCATAAACTTTGTAGAGGTAAGTATGAATAGCTTGTAGTACCGCTAACCATCATACATTCTTCCAGAGAATTGCTAAACAGGCTATTTAGACTATTGAATCCAACCCCCTTTTCATGCAGGAACCCAAATCAAAGCAATTCCACCAGAGGACTTTCCATGCCCTGCTTGATGACATCCTCTGAAGGGGAGTCATTGGGAAATTGATTCCACTATCATACTACCCTTACTGTTAGGTAGAAAAAAAATTGATTTGAAATGAGCAAGGGTGCTAGTATTACCAACAGAAGATAGTAGCTGTGCTTCCTCAGTTGTGTTGATTGTTTCTTCCTTAATAACTAAAATTCTTTGACTAGAAAACTCCATTGTGATCATCTAGTGCTAAAAAGCATTCCTGTTTCCCTCTGTAAATAAATGATGAGGGCTGTGAAGATTCTGCCATCTCCAACAGTATATAGAAAATATGGAAAGAATAAAACCAAGAGGCTTGAACAAAACTGGGGACAATGGAGACAGGGTATCATATAAAATAGTTTTGGGGTGTTTATGACTATATTTATTTAAAAATGTATTATCTAGGGTTTTGTGCTTTCCTGTTTATTCATAATACTCTGACATATTTAGCAAGTTAATGCCTAAAATTTCAGCAAAATTTTTGAAGTTTCTTAAAAGTTGTGTTATCTTTACTAAATGAGTTTTAATTGAGGCACTTGTTATTAGAATTTAAGGGCTAGTAGTAAAGGGTTTTTTTTAGCTGCTGCTGTTGCAAAAGGTAAAATCTACACTTTTTAAAAGTTTTTTTTTTAATTTTCCTATTTTATCCTACAACATTTGAACAAAACATTGCAAATACCACTAAAGATGGAATGTTGTTCTGCTCTGTGTTTAGATAAAAATCCATAAATTAATTTCTCTCTTTTACTGATTTCATGGATTTATTATAATTGATCTTTTGACTCAGATTCTTCTAGTTAAAAGCTACTTTTAACTTGTCAAGCTCTTTGTTTGCTACGTGACTGTATCTTGTAGTCTATTCTGGTTGAAAGATATTTCTCTGTGAAATTAATATTCTGCTGATACTGAAATCTTAATTTAAATTTACAGCAAGAGAAAAAAAATACAAAAAAACATAGTGCATATCTAGAGTTATCAAGAGCAAACAAATGCTTTGGGAGTCAGTGCCTCCTGAAACTTCTTCAAGGATATGGTATGACAAAAGATAACGTTATACAGGTTGGGGTGATAGGTAAGTTTGCCTTGTCCGTATGGAGTTCTATGAATTGTAGTACACACTTATATATAGTAAGAACTGCTATGGAAATGGGATGCTTGAAAATGTACATAAAATATTACAATTGGTTACATTATACTATTTTTTATGCTGAGGATGCCTGCTTGGTTATAATACTGGAGTGAGAAATGAGGATATATGCTTTTGTCTTAGTCTCATTGTGAAGACTTCAGATCCAACTCTGATCTTGCTCTACAGGCAGCTTTAGAAACTAGAAACCTAATTGGCTCCTGATATACTAACAGATATTTTCAGAGAATGCAACATTGTCCAAAATCAGAAAATGGCAATGTAACTGCAAAAGTTTCTGTTCTTCAGCCCAGACCCTGTTGTGCTTCAAACCTAAAGAGAACAGACAAATGAGGGGAAGAGGAGACTGAAAGAGGAATCCAGTCTTCTCTGAATAAATTGTTTTTCTGGAATATCAAATTATTTAAAGTGACATTCCTAGAATATAAGATAATTTGAAGATGCTGTATTTACATTTAGATGTGATGTGGAACTTAAGATAGAATCTTACCCATCTAAATCTACGCTCTTCAAAATAATCCACTTCATGTTATATCTTATGTTTTTGTTTTGTTTTGTGATGGGCTTTAGGTTTTCCAAACGTGGGGAAAAGCAGCATAATCAATAGTCTGAAAGAGGTGCGCGCCTGCAACGTGGGACCACAGAGAGGCCTAACAAAGTTAGTTTGTTTTGGTAAAGCAGTGTTGTAACAGAGCACACACTTGCACACGCACTCATAGGAGCATAGTGGGTCCCTCAACCAATGGTCCCTCAGCCCTTATCCCACAATCTCCCCTGTTGAACCCTCCTATAATCCTGGGGAAGGTCTGTCCAGTCGCCACCACCCACTCTTTTTACAGGGAAAATTTCCTTCTGCATGTTTGTCAGTGGAAAAACTTACATTACTTTTCTTACCTTGTCTGTAGCTTATAAAGTGGCCAGAACATGCAGTAGGTTTACACAGAATTACTTAGATCAATTCATAATATAAATGTTATTAAAAAATTCTAATTTTAATCTAGCCTAGATAGCTCTTTCCTTCAATAGCTTCTTTCAAAGCTATTCTCCAATCCTCCTCTGGGTTGGGTCATATTTCATACCCAGGTGTAGTTGGCTTTTGGCGGTGGCTGCATCCTATTATTTCTGCCATTTGCCTCCTCATGGTTCTGGTTTGTGTATGTGCGTGATTCATTCCAATCATTATGTGTCTGTTCTGTTAAGGTGCGTACAAGCAGTGCACATTGACAAACATATCAAGATGTTGGATAGTCCCTGTATAATTGCAGCACCTTCATGCTCTGCTCTAGCTCTAGCACTGAGAAGTGTCACACATGCTGAAAATCTACTTGATTCAGTAGATGCTATTCTGAAGCACTGCAGGAAACAGCAGGTAAAGATACGGAACTGTTTCACAGTTTGATTGTAGCCATTTTGTAAGCTTTTGATGAAACCCTGTTTGCTATACTTTAGTGCAGGTTTTGAGCAATGCAGCTCGATGACACTGTATTCATTTGTCTGGCATGTCAGTGAAATGAAATTTGACTCTATAGGATAAACTGTCCTGTTATTATGTTGATTATATTTATAACAGAATATGTATGCCCTGTTGATACAATAGAAGAGAATGTGATTATGTTTAATGTGCCACCATTTAGGCAAGTGAGAAATGAGGATATTTGGTATGTCATACTGTTACAGTGACGACATCAGATCCAACTCTGATCTTGCTGTACACTTAAATGGTGCTTTTTGATCCAGCTTTATGTTAGTTTTTTCCGCACCAGAAAAGCAGCGGTTCACATAGATGAATTGAGGCAGAAGCAGGCAACCCTGGTTGTGGACAGTTTGAAATTATGTAGGAATTTCTTCATTCAAGCTGAAATTCTGAGACGATAATATTTGAGGCGCCTTTCTTTTGTTCTAGGTCATGTTACACTATAACATCCCAGATTACAGGAATTCTCTGGAGTTTTTAACTTTGCTTGCTCGAAAGAGAGGAATGTTGAAAAAAGGTGGTCTTCCTGATACAGAAGGTGCAGCTAAGTTATTGCTCTGTGACTGGACAGGGTAAATATTTAGTCATTTAATTACAATTAAATAAGCTCCTTTGCTATCGTAATGATATTTTTTACTCAGATAAGATCTGTTCTTGGAAGAACATGGGGTAAATTTATTGCACATTTGTTTAAATTCTAAGTCAGATTGTTGTTCCCTCTAATACAATATGGCTTGCTATAGCTGTCTAGAACCTTACAGGTAGGGAAGAATCTCATGTATCTACTAGGGATTGAGTCTGGGATTTTCCCATGCAAAATATATATTTTTGAATCCTAAACACTCAGACATAAACAAGGCCACATTTACAGTTTTAAGTATATTGCATGCCATGCTATGATGTAAAACTAGTATTAGGATAAACTTTATCTGAAACATTCTGTATAGTATTTTTTTCCTCAGACAACAACTGAGAGCTAGTAAAATTGTGGTAAAGAGGCGTTTGGAGGTACTGATTTAAAATGGGACAAAGTGTGACTTTGCATGGGATGTTTAAAAGATTCTGTAACAATCAAAAACCTTTGGTATGTTTAGTAAGTTGTAGGCCAGGCAACGTGGTATGCTGAAAAGCAATTTGGGGTAATTGCTTCAAAGAACCTTGAAGTAAATGAATGTTGTGCATTCATTCACTTCTTTTGTAGTATTAATGATGGATGAAGGTATATCACAATTAGTAACTGCCCAGAGTTGCTTGGAGTTGGGCAGCATATTGTTACTGTTACTGTTATATAGCAAGCCCAGGAGTTTGAAGCATGAGCATATGTATCAAGCCCAGGAGTTGAAAATGTACAGGTAGTCTGCATTTAGTGATTGCAGTTGGTTCTGGTGACTTGGTTGTTAAGTCAAGTGGTCGCTAAGTGAAAATCATATGACCACGACTGTGCTTACAATTTTACTTCAGCTTTCCTTTGCTTCTTGTTACTTCCTTCACCTGAACTGCAGTTCTTTCTCTTTCTCTTCGAGGACATCTTGGTATGGGATGAATAAGCAAGTGAAAATACGAGCAGATTATACAGGTAGTCCTCAGTTAATGATAGTAACTGAAACAGGAAATTCCATTGCTAAGCAGTGCAGTTATAAAGCGCAATGGCAGTCTCCTGTCCTTGTTAAGCAAGGATTGCAGGTCATTAAGCAAGGACCTCCTCACAACTTCCTGTTGGCTTCCAACAAAGTCAATGGGGAAACTGGCAGGAAGTCATGAGCCTGGGCAGCTCGCAGGCCAGTGGGTGCATAAGTGGCTGCTGTGGCACAGTGTGAGTGCAGCCGGGCTGGAGGTGGCTGCTGCTGGGAGCAAGAGGACATACAAGCCTTCCTGAGCTCTGCCATCCCAACTGACCTTTGCTGTCTTCTTTCTCCCACTAGCTGCCGATGAGGCACGCTGGGCCTCGCCCTTTGCGAGGCATAAAGGCCGTGGCAGAGTGCAGGGTGGCCGAAAGGGCAGAGATGGGGGGAAGATAGGTGGGTGGGGGAGTTGAAGCACCCTTGTGGTGGTAAATGCAGGTGGGCTGCCAAGTGTCTGAAATTTGATCATGTGACTACAGGGGTGCTGCAATAGCCATAACTTTGAGGACTGGGAGTAAGTACCATTCAGCACCATCGTAAGTTTGCACACTCATTGAATGGATGATTGTTAAGCGAGGACTACCTATACATGTGTTCCCATTAATTTGTGTTGACGCTTAATTTAGAACTTGCAGGATGGATACAAAAAACGAGAACACTAAGGGAGACGCCAGGACAGTAATAAATCTTGAAAAAGGTTTATTAAAAAATTGTCCCTGAATACACCTACAGTGGCAGAAGGATATGACCCCAAACAGCCGAGTGAGCCCAAACGGTTTCCAGAACTCTACTCATGAGGAAGCTGAGTAAAAGGGCAAATCTTATAGCCCTTTTCCCCCACTCCCCCACCCTTTGGAATGCTCACCCTGGTGCTGGCATAATTAGCAAGGAGGAAATTAATATTTGTATTTACATTCATTGAAGAGGAAGGGATTACAAGAGAGTAAGCAGGCGCACAGTGGGGAATACACATTGAAAGGAATGCACTAGCAAGGGCTGTTTGCCTGGGGTGCAAACTGCTTAGGGAGGCAAACAAAAGCCTTTAGTGTGAAACTGATTAGGGTGTTGTCAGTGTCAGGCAGCAGCTGCCAGCAGAGGGTTCTAATCAACTAATTAAGGTCACAGCTGAGCTTGTTAACTTCCAGTTAGCACTTTTTAGGGAAGTGCTGTGCTGCAGAGAAAAGCAGCTCAGGAAGAAATGGCTTGTTTAAGCAATCTCTCTGGCCTTTGAGGTGGGGGGAAATTAGTCAGGCACTGAACAAAGCAATACCATACTGATTGTAATGGTGAACATGTGACTGAAAGACACTGCAAAGGTCATATATGCACATATTGGTCACAAAGTTACTTTTTCATTACCATTCGTAATTGTGAATAGTTGCTATCTGAGTCAGTCACTAAATGAGGACTACCTGTATGTGTATGTCTATGCAGAAAGCAAGGCCAAGAGTTTGTTCAACTATTTTATCTAAGTAAGACATTTTTGTATTTCTGTTCAAGAGTAAAAGTCTCTTCTAAACTTCCTTTCTTCCAGTGCTAGAGTTAGTTACTATTCTCGACCTCCTGAACCATGGAATCTGTCTCCACATCTTTCCAAGGAAGGGGTAGCAGCAGCGCAGGAGGGGTTTAATTTTCAGGAACTGGAAGAAGATAACCAAAATACTGTAAAAGGTGAGGTTAGTGTACAAAACCCCCTCTCATCTTATATAGATATAAAAGCAAAATCCAATTCTTATGAACCTAGTATGAATAACTGAAGAATTGAATCAAGCTGGTTTACCTAATACAGAATAGACTTTTTCCAGAGGCTGTCTTTGAATTCTGTGAAGAAAATAAATTGGCTGCTATGTTGGATACATTTCAAGGAGAACAAAATTTAATCCTTACAAAGATACCAGAATATGCTTCAACTTAATCCCCAAATTATGATCGGTTCACACAGGATTGTTGTTAATTCTTTTCTCCATCCACTGCTTTCTCCTAAATAAAATTATTTCCATATACTGGAAATAATTAAACTTCTTACCACTGCTTTTCTGCTTGAAATAGCATATCCCCACTCTGGTTGATCTATATTTGAAAATGCAAGTTTATGTTGCCATCATGTCTAATCGTCTCTTGAACATTGTAATTCATCAGGAGTTATAAATGGATTTTGATTGGTAGTTGGAGGGCAGGTAAGGTTTCCTTGTTTCAGTTGTTCAAGTCTCTTGTAACAGCTGGCCATACATTGGTGAATACCTGTTGTGAAAGGGTGTCTCTAATTGCCTTTTCTGCTTTCTTCTCCCATGTTACTTTGGGCAGCAAATCTATCTAGAAGTACATACTTGGCTTTTTTTTAATTTAAGCTCTATTTATAACACTTGTGTGATGTTAAATCTGACGGTGTTTAAAAAACTCCAGAGTTGTAATGGAGTTGGGTGGCTTTCGAATGTGATAAATACATTTGATAATAAATAAACTATTAGGAATCTTCATAGCAAGTGAGATAGCTAATGTTCAAGTGTTTTTTCTATTGATATTTTATTATTGGTCTATTTTCCCCATCAGTGAAAAATTAGCAAACAATCTTGCTCATTTGCAAACGATCTTGCTAATTAGCAAACAGTCTTGCTAACAAACTTATAATCTTGAAGTGTTGAGGCAGAATTCACTTCTATAGTGAAAGTATTCCATTGTCTAGAAACAAGACAGTTTATCTTTTGGCAAAATGTCCTAGAAAGTTCTGTCTGTTTAGTCAGTCTCTTAAGGGAGTATTTCTTTTTTAGTTAACAAATACCCTAACCAAGCAAGCACTATTGTCTTCCAATCTCCTGGCTTCACGGATGGCATCATTGAAGATAATGAACAGCCAGAGGAAGCTCTGGAACTAGAGAACATGGAAGAAAATGATGAAGAATTAACTGAAGAAGAAATTGAGGATGATGAAAGTGATCTTGAAGATGCAGAAGAGGTAATGGTTGAATTTTAAGATGCCTAGGATGACATTCAGTGAGGTCTTTCCTTGACAGAATTGTTTCTCCTATCAGTGAACCAGGAGGAATAAATTTTGAGTTGTGTGCAAGGAAGCAGAAAGAAGTCCTGTTATACAAGCAAAAATCTGTTCAAGTGACATGGGACTTCATTTGTAGTATTAAGCAATTTAAGATTACAGGCATACCTCGGAGTTATTACGGGTTCAGTTCCAGACCACCACAATAAAGAGAATATCGCAATAAAGCAAGTCACATGAATGTTTTGGTTTCCCAGTGCATATAAAAGTTATGTTTCTACTATATTGTAGTCTGTTAAGTGGGCAATAGCATTATGTCTAAAAGAACAATGTACATACCTTAATTAAAAAACACTTTATTGCTAAAAAATGCTAATCATCTGATAGACTTGCTCTATGCAGGGTTGCCACAAACCTTCAGTTTGTAAAAAAGACAATATCTGCGAAGCGCAATAAAACAAGGCACCTCTGTGTAATTTGTGGATTCACCACACAGATAATGAAGAGTGGAGATTTAGATATCTGAAATTCTTTAATACAGAATAGATTTCAGTTCCCATCTCTAGAATGGAGAACATAACCACTAACCTGGATTGCATAGGAATGTGTATGCACTGCATAAGAAATCAAGTAGTTCTGATTTTCCTACATCAGTACTGTTGAGATAGGAATTTATATTAGTCATCTTGTTTCAGGAAAGTGACAGAATAATGAGTAGTCAAGCACCCTCTGAAGAGCTGAAAGCAACTAATGCCAACTGGGACAAGTTACCTACAGGTATATATTAAACCTACAAATTTCACAGGAGTAAATATTTAAATAAAAACAGTCTAAAATGTTCTGAACTTACATATGTTTTTTCTTTTCTTCAGATGATAAACAACCCAAATCTGGTGATCTGGATGATGCCTATGATTTCAATACTGATTACATGTGAAGAAAATATTAGAAATTCCGAGTATTTTTCACATTCTGGAATGCATTCCTAATCAGTTTTTGCAGCTGCTGAACACCAGATTCTTGTAAATAATACTTTGGAAGTAGCAGCTGATGAGGAAAGATATTTTCTGACTTAGTAAATTATATTCAGTAAATATGTTTATCACGTGTACTGTGTTGGTGTTATAACAATGAAGTAAAACCAGGGTTTTACAAAAGCAGAATGAAGTAACGATTCAGATTGTAACCTGTGGAGAGCTTGTGTTTTAGATAGAGCAAGTATGGATCACAAGGGACTTTCTGATTTCCAAACCGAAAAAAACTGAACTGCATTGCAGAGAATCTTATAGTGGAATGAAAATAATGTTTCCTGATTTCTTGTTCTCCCTATTATCTTATGCATCCTCCTAAGATGAAGGTTAGAGCCTATAAAGGGAGAAGGAACAGGTGAAGATTGCTTCTTTCCTGAATTCTGCACTTTTCAGAATTCTGTAGGCTGAGTTCCAACTTAATAATGCACAACAATGTTTGCATTAGGGAAAATATAGGAAAACATAATAACAATGCAGTTTCCTGAGGAAAATATGCATGTGCTTAGAAAATCTATCCAAAAAGTGTACATATATTTGTGCCATGTCTTCCTGCTCAATTTGTAAGCACTGGAACTATATAGAGTATGTACTCTAACATATAGAAAATCCATATTTTTTTAGAAAATGATATAATTGCATCTCTAAGATAAAGAGGGGCAGGAGTTCAACCTTTAATGTAGTAAAGCCAAAGCCCTCTCTCTCCCATCTTCTAAGTGTTTACTTCCAGTTTTTGTTTTCAGCCATTTCATGTCTCAGCTGAACCACAGACATAATCAGTAGATTCACAAGGCCTATCTAATCTGCTAATTAGAAAGACAAAGTTGGTTCAGCCTTTTTTGAACAAGAACCACACTTAACTTTTGGATGACCCACCAGAGGTCACACTCCTCTGTGTGTGTCTGCCTGTGCAGAATAAACACTAATTAAATCCAACATATTTAATAAGATTTCTGTATTTAATAGGTTTCTCCTTCTGTTGTAGTTTAGCAGCAGCTTTTGAAGGAGGATCACTGAAGCTTCTACACCTCTGCTCTAAACTTTTTTCTTGCCAGCAGATCAAAATTTACTTTTTCCTTTAATTTGTGAACTTTTCTCGCAAATTTCTAATTAGCTCTTTTAATGTGCGTATCTCCCAAATAGATGCTCTAGAAACTGAGTCCATTTATTGGAGGAAATGATATATTGTAAGACAAGATTACTTTTTATTACAGTTATCAAATGTAGATTAATCTGAACTCACATACAAACAAATCAAGCTTTGTTTGAGTGTCTTTCTCCATGATTTTAAACAGGCTATTTTAGTGTTGTTGGGCAGTTTCTTCCATCATTTACTAAATAATTACAAAAACAGATTAAATCTACAACAGATTTAAATAAGTGTAAACAATTGACTAAATACTAAAGAGAAAAGGTTCTAGCAGAAAACTTACATTCACAGGTTACTGCTAAGAGGAGGAAGGTTTTTGTTTTGTTTTTTTGGTACAAAGAAATAGCTGTGCAAGATATGTTGCAGACACCCAGGAATGTCACATTCCTAGATGAAGCTAATTTTGTAACATTTCATTATAAAAATTTACTTCTGAAGAATTCATCTGGTCCAGCTGCGTAGTTGATCCAAGCTGTTCCTCATCTTGTACTTGAAGGCACGAAACTGCTTCTTCAGGCATACAATTTCAAGTCCTTCTCAAATTCAATGTAGGTTAAATGGACATACCATTACTGATTTCACTCTGTGATCTGACAGGCTTCCTGAGAAAAGTATGTAGGTATTGAGTCCTCCTTACTGTGCTGCATCACTATGCCTCCGAATCAAATTAAATCTGCCACTAGGATCAGGAATGTACCATTTTTCCCAAACATCTGCAAAGGATGCAGTTCGCCCCCAGGGTTTGAAATGTCCATTCCAGTGGAGTAATTTGGCAGCTTTCACAAACTGTGGCGAGTATCTTTTGCCAGCACTTGAACCTTTAAATTGAGTAACACAGCAAATTTAACAAGAAGTCATGCAGCAGAAATAATTGTATCTGCAGTTTTCAACGACAGGTAGAACTAACTCTTTGATAGGTTGACTAGTTTAAATTTTTATCAGAAATGTTTTGTTCCTTTCTCACTGCTCACTACCCTCAAAATTGGACATAAAATAAAACTCTGTTTTAGAGTCCTGAAGGCCATAACTGAAGCCAACAAAATCCTTGCAGTAAACTAATCACTAAATGCATATTGAAATTCCACAGAAGTTTCAAATATATTCATCAATGTCAGCCTTCTTAAGTAGACAATAACAAGTTCAATGACTCTCCCCCAGAGGAAACCAATCACTTCATTACAGCAGATTAAAAACATCCTGCTAGTGGATTTTCACTAATACAACCAGGGTTTCTCCTCTCCCCTGCAGGTCCACAGAAGCCCTAAAAAATAATTCCATAGATTCAGAATGTGCATGAGAAACTGCAGGGGAGAGAAAATTGCATGCTCCCATTTCATCAGTGGTAGGTGCTACTTGTGACAAAAGCATTCTGTCCAAAATCACTAAAACTAGTACTAAAGGGGGAAAAAAAGGATTATAATCCCAGCCAGTTTGATTAGTCAAATTAGCTCCAATTTGATAATGGTGCAGTATTAATGTAAAATTGGTTTTTTCCCCCCCTCTACTTACCAAGATGACGAACATTCCACATAGGGTCAATCTTTGAATGCCGCTTGTAAAATACAATTAGTAGAGGAGGCGTAGTGATACTGCCAGCAAGAGTCCTGCTATATATCTCTTCTCTGGTCAGTGATTAAGAAAATGCAAATTAACCAGCTGAACAAAAAGCATAATTATTAACAAGGAAAACCATTTTCATAGATACATAATTTGAATAGATTGCAATTACTCTGTTTTTAATGTATTATTCACATGTTTGTTTTTGCACTTTTTAATAAATATTTGATGGCAAGCTCTTACTAAGGCAAGAACTCATATTCTTGACAATGAGCTAGAAAAATGCAATAAAGGAATTGAGTGATAGCAGAACACAAGAAGAAAATCAGTTTCAAATAAGAGATCCATGTGGGGGTAAACTTGCCTAAGTCATGAACCCACTGGTTAGCCCTTGGTGCATGATAGTTGGAGTAGGCAACATAGTATGGTCTAGTTATTTTGACTGCCAACTTCTTTAAGCCCAGTCAACCAAGCTAATGCCAAAGAACTGTTTGAGTTGTAAGGCAAAACGTGGAAATAATGTTACCTTCCATTTCCTTAAAGGACAGTTTACAAATACGTGAAGTACTTTAAACAGTTAAAAAACACAACTATTAAGTAGGATTATTTCTAGAAGAAAAACTAATGGAAAAGTAGATACAAGGAATGGCCATTCCATAGCACAGACCTGGGGAAAGTGTTGCCTCCAAATGTGGCTGGATGAATGATGGTGAGGGATGCAAGAAGTTGTATTTCAGCAAGAAAATATATGTTGGGAGTAAGAATTGAAAGGAAGAGAAGGAGGTAGATTGAGAGTATGAGGTGGGAAAGATATTTAAGAAACCAGATACCAGAACATTTTTATGTGAAGAATTGCATTTTAAAATCATTGGTACTGAAGATCAGGTGTCTAAAGCTGACAGAGAAAGTGATACTGAGTTAATGTAGAAAATAATAGCAAGATAGGAATATAGTGGTACATACAATAGTGATTTTAGCAACTGCCTAGATTTGTTTTTCTCAAACTATTGTCCTTCTAATTATTTTGGACTGCAACTTGCAGAATTTTAGGATGCCTAATAGACAACAGGTTGAGGAAGACTGATAGGAAAGACAGAGACAATTCTTCAGGGTATTTTTTCTCTTCTATCTCCCCTTTTCCATCCTCACATACAATTCGTCTCAATCTTCAGCTATCATATAAAAAAATCGACATACTCACACAACATTAAGTGCCATCCATTTCTCCAGTTGCTTAGTAACATTTTGTATTTTCCATTCTGTTAGATTTGCAACAAAGACACCTGGATTGAAGGAGCAGGTGCTTGCTTTTATGGACAGCTTCCGAACCAATTCTTTTTTATAATCAAGAAATCCCATGTAATTATACTGAAAATAAATAGAAATTTGGCCTCAGATTGAGTTTTATTCCTGCCCTCCACTCCAAAGACTTCCTCAGTAAACATGCTTCCTCTCTGCAGAAAACCAGAAAGCTGGACAGAGTCTAAACATCTCCAATTATGTTAGGTTATTTTAAAAAATACATTAATGTGCAGGCACCATTGATAACTACTGTGAAAGCAGGAATTTATTACAAAGTCTATATGGAGCATCACGCAAATGAACTTACACAACAGGATTTCCTTTTTTCCCCCTCCCCCGTTTTTTTTAAATCTCATTGAGTCAGACTTGGTTTTGGGTGATTATATGCACATCTCCATGTTCTTTTCTGGGTAACAATATGGAAGTAGCCTGCCACTGCCTTTTTCCAAGTTGAAATGTTTGATCTATCTAGGCCTTGGATTTCCTGAAGTCTCACAAGTACTAGCCAGGTCTAGCCTGATTAGTATTTTCAAACCTCCAAGCCTTCAAAGCAGATAGGAGGGGGGCTGGGTATAGGGGAAATTCTGCCTACAGTTTCTATGTCCCACTGTCCACTTAAAAATAAAAATTATCTTCCTACCCAGTATATACAACCTGATGTACAGTGAGTCCTCATTTAGTGACTGTTTACAGTTACAACAGTGATGAAAAGGTAATTTTACAACCAAGCCTCGCATTTACGACCTTCACAGGTCTGTAAAGCAAAGGAAAGCTGAAGTGAGATCATAAGCACTGTTGCAATTTTGCTTAGCAACCGCTTTGCTTAACAACTGAGTTGCTGATTCCAATTGTGGTTGCTAAACAGACTGCCTGTAGTGGTTAAAGCATCAAGTCTAGAAACAGGGAGATCATGACCCTGGGTGACTTTGAGCCAGTCACTTCTTTCATCCCTAGGAAGCAGGCAGTGGCAAGCCACTTCCAAAAATGCTACGAAGAAAACTGCAGGGACTAGTCCAGGCAGTCACCAGGAATCAACACTGACTGGAAGGCACACAAAAAGAGTAATTTACATATAATTGAAAATAGTTTGTTTCCTTCTTTCTATCTCCTTTTCAGCCCATGGTAAACAAGGTACTTGCTAATTAATGAAAAAGATGAAACTGCTTTTGATTATTTCAAGACAGTAATGGTTCTCCTTCAAAGATGGAGAACAAAAGCATATTTTATAGTACCCTAAAGAGAATCAAAGACTACCTACATAAATAAGCACACATGTGCAAAAAGCTTTAAACTAACGTAAAGAAATTATTGAGGTTCTTTCTGATTGATAAAGATTCAGTCATGAGGCATACCAGCAGGAAGTTACTACTTCTGTTTTTAAAACTTGAAAAAACACTTTGCTAAAACTGGGTACTAAAACCTTTGCAAAATTTTCAAGTCAAGAATGGAACCAGCAAAGTATAAGCATCTTCTAAAAACTAGGGTCCCTCATTCTTCTTTACAGCTGCTTTCACCTGATTTCCTGCTCCACGGACAGAAAACTTATTTGAGGTAGAGTCACAATCATCCGAGAATGCAGCTGCGTGGCCTGGTTGCAATGGAGTGTGGTAAAGTTCAAGGATATCATCTGAAAATGCATCATAGGCAATAAGAAGCTGCTATTGCAAAGAAATGAATACCCACATTTTGTCATTTTAACACAAATGTCTCACATAGTCTTTCCCAATACTTAGAACGTACCTACTAACAGTGATTGCTATTCCAATAAATGCCACGCAAGTGTCAGGCAGGATCACATCTCGTATATGTCTATCCAAAGAGCTCTCTTATTTGGACAAAAACTTATGCGCCACAAAGTAAATAAGTTTTAAAACTGAAGTGTCTCTCTCAGGCAGTTTTGTATTACAACATGGGTATCTACTATTAAAAAAACGTGTTACTTAATACAACAACCAGGGACAAATGCTATTATTTATGGAAGCCATAATCATGCTTCCAATAATTTCAAAGTGACATTTTATTTTTAATTCATATTTGCACACAACAAAAATCAGCTGATTAGGCTACTATGAATTAATACTTCAGCTGGAAATAAATTATTACCTTAATAAAATTTCATATTCAGATATATATGGCTCACCTACTTGTGGCCGCCCATCTTAATCAAATAACTCTAGGCAGCTAACAAGCATAAAAACATAACATCCATGTAAAAACAACAGAAAAAACAGTAAAAGATGCCAGGTAAAAAAAAATCTCAATCAAAGCAAAGCTACAATAACTTTGGTACTGTCCTCTCTATTTTCTCTTGTGTGTATCTTTTTTCTCACTTTTCACTTATATGTATTGGCAATAATGCTCTCTGTTTTTACATATGCTCCATGTTTTCAGAAGGTAAAAATTATAAGTGGCTACAGCCCGGTATTTTGTTTCTAAATGGGCTCATCTGCCTAAAAAACCCGCAGACAAGTAGCCTGGGGACTGATCATGGGTATGCTATGGTCTCAGGGAAGATAGCAGATAACATCCTCAGTTGGCCCACTGGTGAAATGTGATGGTCCCCACTACCATGGCAGATGTTTTATGAATGGGTAAAACCCCAATGGCAACTTTTCCTTAAAGCGCACAGCATATTCTTCAAATGACAAATATGACCACTGGCGCAAACAGTTGGGAGGTCTGAGAACAGAGTTTATTATAAACTAAGTTTTTGGTTCACAAAATATGATTAATCTAAAGCAGAACAACACAACTTTTTTCAAGAACTACCCTTGATCTTTCAGTAAAGTGCCAGAGAACTACACTACAAAAAATAGTAGGAGAGATCAGGATGAAAACTGGGTTTTATTTCTTCCAGTTTAATAAATTTAAATGTAATACATCTCCATAATTTTCCCTTCCTCTATCTTTTGTTGAGGTCTCTGAGAGTCCCTTGGAAGGCTTTCAGGGGCTCGGTATAGCACTGAGGCCTCAGGTTTTAGATCCAAGAGGAAGAGGATGCCTGGAAGAGGAACGTGGAAGTGGATCCCCGAGGCTTAATTTGCCCATGTATCACTCAACCATGGCTTACCGTTGTGTAAATTCTTCCATTAATTAATTGTTTGATAGCTTAAGTTACTAGAATTTCCACAGAAGGACAAATTAAAATTTCAGTACAAGTTACAGGAGGTTTTATATTTCTTTTTAAACTGGAAACCAAAGTTGCTTTGTCCTTCAAACAAGAGGAGCTACTATATTAGCCTTCCCCAAACTACTGCATTCCAGATGTGTTGGGGCTGCAGATTCACATGAACGATATTGGCTATGATTCCTTGGAGCTGTGATCCCAACACATCTAATCAGCACCAGATATGGGGGAAGGTTGATATGTAGAAAGGCAATTTATATGCCCTTCAACATATATAAAAAGCAAAGTCCCATACCTTGCACAATCACATCATCATCCAAATAAATGGCCTTTTCTGCATTGGGAACCCAATTAGGTAGGTAGAATCTTGCAAATGTCAGCTAGAAAGAAGCAAAAGGTGATAAAAGAAATTATGAGATGGCAAGCATTAGATACTTGTAATCAAATCTTTTTGATATACCTTCATATCTAACAAGATTAAGTAGAAGTATTTGGTGCAACCTTGGTGAAAATGATGACATTTCCAAATATTCCTTAGTAAGTTACCGAAGCTGTCCTAACTAAATCAGGTATGCAAAACAGAATCAAGGAAGATGATGTTAGTAATTAAAAGATAACTTTCTCAAAGATCTAATACTTAAGCATGCATGCAAATATAAATTATCAGTAATAGTGAACAAGTTATAGTTACAATAACATAATCAGTAATACCTACTGGTTTTATGGAATCTGGCATCTTTGAGTCTATCTGCACTTTTCCAGCCAGCATACCAGGATCAAAATTCAAAATTCGGTACTGAACATTTTTTAGACTGGTTTTACTAAGCCATGATCTACACAATTAAGAAAGTAATAGAGATATCAAATATTACTGAAATGGTACAAGAATCATTCTTTGAATTTTCTCATCTTGGTGAGTCCTGTGACAATCAGGAGTATGACAGAGTATGGCAATCTGAAGTCAAGTATTACATAATAGAGACCCAGTCTGATGTAGTAGTTAAGGTACTATGCCAGAAGCTGAGAAACTGCGAATTTTAGTCCCACCTTAGGCACGAAGCCAGCTCAGTGGCTTTGGGCCAACCTCTCTCGGCCCTAGGAAGAAAAAAAGGGCAAACCACTTCTGAAAATATTACCAAGCAAATTGCTATAAAAGTCACCTCAATGGGTCAATTTATTAGACATAGAATAAATAATAGTCTATTTGTCATTAAATATAAGAATAACTGTCTTTTTCCAATAAACTATTGCATTTAAAAATCATCCCCTACTAAAATAAGTGGCCAATAAAATTCCACAAACATGCTTTTTACCTCAGATGGTCCACAGTGTCATTCAAAGTGACAATATGGAATGCCACATTGGATTTGGTGTTTTGCTGAATACTGTTCACAGCTGCAATTACACCACCAAGCCTTTCATCAGATGCTGTAATGACCACAGGAATTTCATTTTCATTTTGGTCCACTGTCAATCTTTGAGGAGCTTCAGGTATAAAATCTATCGGCTGAAATCCTAATGGATTTGAATCTGCACGGGAATTATATAAAGCATTACATTTTGATTTACCATGTTGAGTGAGTTCAGATTTTGTGATCTGTAAATCAAGGGTAATGGCAGGATATGTTTTGCAAACCCAATTATGGTTTATTGAATAAGCCATGGTTAAACCATAGTTAAACAAACCCTAGCTTGTGTGATGTTTAAACCAATCTTTTAACTCTTAATGATCAAGTCTGATGAGGCAACAGTTAGTTTGAAGTCACTTTCAGACAATAAGAATTACAGGTTGAAATCATGTCTAATATAGAATCTATATTTTAAATTATATTAAATAATGGGTACAAAAGATGCAATTCTATGACTGTATTTCAGCTCAGGTACCATGAAAATAACCATGCTGCACTGTGACTGTTTCACTTCTAACAACACCTAGGGAGAAATGTCAAAAGGCAGTTTAGTGTAGTGGTTAAGGTGTTGGCTTAGAAACCAGGAGACTGTGAGTTCTAGTCCCGTTTTAGGCACGAAAGCCAGTTGGGTGACTTTGGGCCAATGACTCTCTCTCACTCCAATTCACCTCAAGGGTTGTTGTAAGGAAACTAGGAGGAGGAGGAAGGAGTATTAGTTTGTTTGCTGCCTTGAGTTATTTATAAAAATAATAAAGGTGGGATTAAAAAAAAATCTAAAAAAACAGTAAAAGCAGACAATTATAAGGAACTGCTAATGAATGACAATAATTATTAATGAAGTATGAAATCAAAATTAAAAAGTGCCACCATGGAATATGGTTTTTACAGAAAAAAATGCTTATAAAAACATATACATAGTTACTAATTTCCTACTAAATAAACACTTATACTGAAGCAGTAAAATAGAGAAATGGAAGAATACCTGATAATTCTTTTTTCAAGAGATCACTGAGACCTAGAAAGTTGTGATGCAGCACTAACAAAAATATAACAACAACAAGTACGAGGATGAATATGTTTACTGCAATGAAAAAAGAAAGCTATTGTTAGAATAACATCATCTGAGTATTTTAACTTTTAAAAATCGCTATTTAAGGGGAAAAGTACCTTTTCTTAATGTCATTTTCTTTGGGGATGAAAAACAAAATCTCTTCAAAAGTCTACAAAAAAGGAACATAACTAAGAAAGTGTCCACAAATGTCCAGAGAGATCCAGTAAGTCATAAAGCATCATATTCACAGGTAAATTCAGAAAGCAAAAAAGACGGAGCGAGGAAACAGAGCTTATATCCGCCGTTTCAGTTTTCATTCTCAATACAGTTCAATAATCTGCTTCCAAACTGAAGTTAGGTACAAAGCAATTTTGTCTAGGCTGCAGTCAAATTAGGGAAGGCTGACTTCGTAGCCTGGTAACCCTGAGCTATCCCTATTTGACTCCTTAGAATATTCTCACTTTGCACTGATAATGAGATACGTCTTCACTACTGTCACTGCATTAGGTTTCATAGGCGTATTCTGCAAGCTGCACTTTGCACATTCTACTGACTTACCCTCCTGTAAACCTTTACTAGTCAGGAATCAGGAATCAGGAATCTGATGCTCATAAACATATTAAAAAAGATTCCTGTGAGATAGCTTCTCAATTATCACAGTCAATCTGCAATGCCTATATAGTAAAAGTTATGTTTAAATGAGATGATAGTGTTTTGCTGGATCATAAATTGCAGGGTTATAAAATGAACATAATCAGGGGCACCGGTCACATTTGGGATAAAAACACAATGACTGTGTATAGTTCATATACTTCATTTATCTTGTAGGTCATAATTTGTAATCTTACTGTAAACTGGTTTTTAATTAAACAAGTTCTGGCTGAATATAACTACTTCTATCCTTTTAATTCACATGATACTTTACAAAAAGTCAATGTTACCAAAACTGCAATACTGTATTAAGAATTCAAATTAATGATGATAAGGACAATCAGAAATTGTCCAGAAATTATGTTCTATGTGAAGGAATATTTAACACTGAGGTGAGAAGATAAGGGGAGATATTACAGTACTTTTGAAATACCTGAAAGGATGCCAATTGAACATAAGAAGGCACTGATCATAGCAGCACAAGAACAGGCACTAAGCACCAGATCCACAGAAGCAGAGGTCTACCACACTAGACAGGACCCAAGGTGCAGACTGTGCAGAGAGGCCTCAGAGAGAGTCCAACATATAGTGGCAGGGTGTAAAATGCAGGCAGGAACAGCATACGCTGAACAGCACAACCAAGTAGCTAGCATTGTGTACAGGAACATCTGCACAGTATATGGTCTAGACCCTCCCAAGTCCAGATGGGAGATTCCACAAGAGGTCGTGGAGAATAACAGGGCTAAGATCCTGTGGGACTTCCAAAGACAGGCAGGCAGGCAGGTACTGGCCAATCAACCAGACATCGTGGTAGTAGACAAGGACCAGAAGACAGCAGCGGTGATAGATGTAGTGGTGCCAAGTGACAGCAACATCAAGAAGAAGGAGCATGAGAAGCTGGAGAAGCACCAGGGCCTAAAGGAGCAACTAGAGAGGATGTGGAAAGTAAAGGCCAACGTGGTCCCAGTGGTGGTAGGAGCACTTGGGGCTGTGACTCCTGAGCTGGGAGAGTGGCTCCAACAGGTGCCAGGAACAACATCAGAGCTCTCTGGCCCGAAGAGTGCAGTGCTAGGAACAGCTAAGATCCTGCGCAGAACCCTCAAACTCCCAGGCCTCTGGTGGAGGACCCGAGGTTGAGGAAGACACATTCCACCCATAGAGGCCAGAGGGTGTGTGTGTATGTATACGTACATACATATACGTATATATATTCAGGCAAGGGTTGGACAGCATCTGTCAGAGATGCTTCAATTTGGATACCTGTACTGAGTTGGGGGAGGCTTAAATGCCCTCTTCAAACATTTATATGGTTTGTTCCCATGGTACCTTTCAAATTATCAATATCTGTCAATCTTGGAAGTTCATATTTTAAGATAATTCTCCTTCTGTAATATAAAATTTGCTCAAGATTAGAATCACCATTCAACCATTATTGTTGGCTATTAGGTATCAACCAATCAGGTGACTGTATGGACAAATATCAAGAGCAGATGTTGCTCTTCTGCAGCTATATAACTGCTGCTCTGCAATGCTCTTCTATAGTTTAGTTCACATATATGCATTTACCTGAACTTTAACATGTTATCTCTTTAGTGGGGTTTTTTTCCCCTTTCAGCTATGTAATCCTGCTAAGACGGCTGTAATGTTACTAGACGCACCTTACTGCAGGTGACATCAGTTAAGGATCACAACAATCCATCAGTTAAAAAGAAACTACTTCTACTTTTCGAAAGGTAGCAGCATCCCCCGTTTGCCTTCCAGCCCTTTGCTCAGAGATGTTGGCCACCTGACTAGATCTGCTGCATATTAAAAAGAAGGAAAATGAATAATATCTGCATAACATACAGTAAAGCTTATTATTCATAGCGCATCATCACAGCAGTTAAACCCCCACGGCATGGCAAACAGGCAGCGTCTATTCCCACGAGTCTTACTTGCTGGCCCAGAATAGAGAGATCCTTCTATTCCTCCCTTCCCTTCGCAGAGTCTGGCGGCCACGCGCGAAATGCCAACTCAACAGCAGCTGGAAAAATAAAAGGTGCCTATCGTAGTGCCTGATCGGGGGGGAAAAACCGATACGTAAACAGGCGCGTTTGCAAGAGCGTTAATGCCAAATATGTCTCTATAAATACACCCAATTTTTTTTGTGGTAGAAAGAAAACAGAGAGGCAATACGTTAGACGTCAACTTGACAAAGGTCCCTTTCTCGCGAAAGGAAAGGGGCGGGAAACGCCTCCTGCGCTTGTTGTCATGGTGACGAACTAAGGCTCCAGCGTCCGCAGAGAGGCCTGTGACGTCATGGCGCTATCTGCCAGCCGACCGGCAGACGGCAGCATTCACCGGCGGAGTTGGTTTGTTTCTGGCATGAGTCCAGGAGGGGAGCAGCCCCCACTTCCCGCCCGAGCTGAGTCGGAAATCCAAAACCAATGAGGCGGGGCAAGAGAACGTCGATTCCGGTATGCTCGGGAGCGCCCGCCTTACGGCGCAGAGCCGTCTCGGTCAAGAAGCCGGAAGCGCCCGTTGACGGTTCTTTGCTCGTCTCTTCCGCCTCCGACGGCAACTCGCAGGGTGACCCTTTCCAGCCGCCGGAGAGCAAGCTTCCTCCCTGCAGAGCCGAGGAGCCCCTTTCGACCCCGGAGCCGCCCGCCGCCGTGCCGCTTGCAGCCCACAAGCCCCCGCTGCCCGCTTTCCTCTTGGAGAGCGCTGACGGCTGCAGAGACCTAGGCGCCGCTGCTCCGCCGGGCACCATGCTCAACATCTTCCGATCCATCCCGACGCAGATGGTAAGGCGGTAGCGTCCCGCTAGCGGAGAGAGCTGTGCGCCCTCCTGACTTTGAGGTCGGGCAGGAAGCGGTAAAGCGTCCAGGCACCAAATAGAAACTGCCTGGCTGTCTTCGCTGGTAAGGAGACGTGTCCTAAGTAGAGGCGCCCCAGGGTCCGATGACTGCAGCTGCCGATTAGACGGAAAGATTTTCGGTTCAGAAAACGAAAAAGTCTCGATTGTTCTACGTCCTCTGCCCCCCCCCCCTTTAAATTATTGCTTCGAGTTGTGTAAAATTCCATACCTAAACGTGTCTGCTCGAAAATAAGCTCTTATTTCGGTAGGATTTTATCAGTCATCTCATAATGTACTTAGTAGATAACTTACATAAAACAAAATTATCAGTACCATGCTAAAATCAGTTAAATATATTTAACAGAATTCTGCTTCAAAAAGGCAAAAACAAACAACATACATCAGCCTTGGAAAATATTGAAATACTAAATTAAAAATATTACATTGATTTAATTTATTAAAGGCCTAGGTAAATAAGGGGATATTGCTTACTGCTGACAGAATATTGATATAGGTGAAATGGGCACAGCTGAAAATGTCCTGTCCCTCAAAGGTCTCCTCTGCTATTTTAATTTAAAGGAACATTTGGCAAAGTTAATAAGTTTAGGTATGAGTAAACTTGAGAAGCATTTCCTCAAACACAAAGATGCATAAAACTATATATATTGCGATTCTTTACAATGTAATCCCTGTGGTGTGTGAGTGCCAGCTCAGTTGGATTTATTGATAGGTAGACAGAGCTTTAAACATCCTATTCTCTTTTGAGGTTTAGTGTTAACTGGGCAGACTAGACTTGTTTCTTCCATCTTGTTTTGCAAATAGACTAGATTTGTTCAGTTGATTGTTTTATTTATTTGGAGCATTTATATGGCCACCCAAATCCAAACAATATGACTCAACGTGGGTGGCTTGATTGATTATATGCTATCATTGTTTTTGATTCCTAGCAACTAGATAGACAGACGGACAAAGTAATTAAATTAAAATACAAAATAAAAATACCACCACTAAAACCAAAAATATTAAATGGTGATCAGACTAAAATTTATCTCCTGAATAAGTAATGAGCAATGTATTACTCCTCTTGACCTAAGTGCCAGGGAAAGGGCCAGGTCTGAACTGCCTTTCTAAAGCCATGCAGGGTTGGGGCAAACTGGGATGGGGAATATTTCCAAAGGCAGGGGCCAACACCAAGAAGGCATGCCTACTTGGGTCTCATGAGGTGACATTATTATTGTTATTGTTGTTATCCACCATCCAAAGTGTGATACGTAAAACATTTAAGCAAGTCTGAATTCGTGAATGCCTTTTACCTAATAAAATTGGGCAGAGCCTACAGTCCTTCCATACAAAATTTCTGTTAGAGTTACCAAAGCTTCTGCTTGTGCTTACATTTGTTCCCTTCTTTCCTTTAGGAGTTTAAGGCATTACATGATTCTTCTTCCTCTCTCCAGTTTTTATCCTCCTATATAGTATAATAACCTATATGGCTGGGTTCTAGTGGTGGTTAATTCTTCCTTGAGGGGGCTGTTCCTCTACCCCTTAGAGGTGTTGGCTTGCCCCCACCTCAAGCCATTGCTGGACCCAATCTAATTGGACAATTTTCATCCAGTATCTAACCTTCCCTTTCTAGAGAAGGTTATTGAGAAGTAGTCACGCAGCAGCTTCAGAGGATCCTGGATGAAATGATTATTTGAACCCCTTTCATCTGTTTCACACCTGAGTATGAGGCAGATACAGCATTGGTCATACTTTTAGATGACTTCTGGCAGGAGCAGGATGGGGTAGTGCATCATCCTTGCTGTACTTGACCTCTCAGCAGCCTTCAATACCATTGACCATAGTATCCTTGTGGACCAGCTGCAGAGGTTGGGAGTGAGTGGTATTGTATTGTGTTGGTTCTCTTCCTTCCTCCATGGGTAGTTCCAGCTGGTGTTGGTCAGGAGAGGTCCTGTCCTCAGCCCCTACTTTGTGGGATCCCAGTTTGGTACTCTCAGCTCCTGTTTAACATCTACATGAAACTGCTGGGTGAGGTCATCCATTGCCATGGTGAGAGGTATCATCAGTACATTGATGATACCCAGAAATACATTTCTGCTTCTGGTAAATTAAGTGATGTTGTTGAGTCCCTGACCTTGTGCCTGGAGATGGTGGGTGTTTGGAAGGGGAACAACAGGTTTTGGCTCAACCCTGGCAAGACTGAGTGGCTTTGGGTTTTCAGGCCTTCAGGACCTGGGAACTTACCATCTTGGGCGCTAGATGGGAAGGCACTGCCCTAAACAGACCCTGTGCTCAATTGGGGGGGCCCTTCTGGACTTATTGAGCAGTGGCAGTTGTGGCTAGGAGGGCTTTCGTGCAACTTTGGGTTGTGTGACAGTTACACCCGTTCTTGGATCAGGAGGCTCTACTCTCACTCACTCATGCTCTGGATTACTGTAATGTGCTCTACATTGGGCTGGCCTTAAAAAGCATCCAGAAGCTGTAACTGTTGCAAAATGCAGTGGTGCAGGCAGTCATGGGTGTTCCTTGATCAGTGCATGTTACATCTCTGCTCCACAAGCTGCACTGGTGGCAAGTTTACTTCTGGGTTCAATTCAAGGTGCTGGTGATGACCTTGAATGTCCCTAGATGGAATGGGGCTGGGTTATTTGAGGGTCTGCCTCTCCCAGGTTACATCTACGTGTCCCGTCAAGTCTGGCAGGAGGGGCATGTTGCAGCTCCTGTCTGCCAGGGAGTTGCATCTGACAGGACCCAGGAGGTGAGCCTTTTCTGCCACAGCACCCACTCTTTGGAACATCCTCATCTCTGAAGTTAGCCTGGCCCCAACCCTGTTGGCTTTCTAGAGGGCCCTGAAGACATGGCTCTGCCACCATGCCTAGGAATCTGGCGGTGGAATGCAGCCTATGCAATGGTTATGTTGTTCATAAGATGGATGCCATTCTCCTGCAGATTGCTTTTTAGGTTTTAATGGTTTTAATTTTTGATGTGTTTTAATGGCTTTTTGTGTTTTTATTATTTATTTGTATTTGTTTTGGGGGGGGGTTTTAACTGTGTGAGCTGCCTAGAGTTGTGTATGCGAGATTTACAAATTGAACACATAATAAATATAAATGAGCTGATCAAAACCAACTAGTTCATTCTCTTCAGTTCTAGCTGAATTAGCTCCAATTAACTAGGCTCACACATTGCACCAAACTGATTTGTTGTGACTATGAATTATTATTTAAGCCACAATGACTGAGTTCACATATAGACCACATTAAATCTTAATAGAATGTGTAAACCTAGCCAGAACAGAAGTATCTGAAGAATTTTACAAAAATCTTAAAGTACTCGTGAAATAGAGGTAAAGCAAAATCTTTTTTCCATCCCCTGGTCCTTTTTAGGCAAAACTTGACAAGCATACAAAACTTTCGTGAGTTGACATCATTACTTAGAGGCAACTATAGCTAGCTGTATCTAAAGATATCACAAAAGTCAAATCTAATTTGACCGTAAATCTTCTTCCAGCAGTGTTGTGTAAATATAGTTCATTATATTTATATATTTAGCAAAGGTAGTTAGAAGTGAACTGTACTCTGACAGCATAATGGAAAGTCTGGCAGTGTACTTATCTGTTCTTTCACATTCAGTAGAAACATCTATTTCTAAGATCTCGTCCTCAAATTTATTTTTAAATGCATTTTCACTTCTTATTCCTATTACCTTATCAGAAATCTTAGTGTTTTCATCATTGTGTAAGCTGTAAGAATTACAGATATGGGGAAAATGTTAGTGCTATTGATTTTTCTTTTTCCACAGGACTACAAAGGTCAAAAACTAGCAGAGCAGATTTTTCAAGGAATAATTCTTTTCTCTGCTGTAAGTATAATAAAAACAGAATACCATCTATATTATTTACACGCGCGCACACACAACACTATCACTGTAAGTTATACATTCATCACTTCTTTCTACTTTTACCTCCTGAAAAGATGCTCATGAGAGGTGAGGCATGAAATACTTGGGAATATTTTATGAGATGTATTAGGGAATAAGCAAAACCCCTCCCCTTCCAATTACTCCAGCAAAAATGTCTGCTGGGTCCTAGTCCTTTTTCAAGACAGCTATCTTTGCAGTAAGAATATCTTGCATATAAATCTATATCTTTTTATGCATGGTGCCCTGAACCATAGAGACTATAAGAGTTTGATGCTTTCTTATGAATCCCCAGTGTGAACATCCTTAGTAACTACTCTAAGTTATTATATACATTTTGAACTGTTGTATTGGTTTGAGAAATAGCCTTGAGTTTTCTTTATTCTGATTTTTGTCTTGTAGGTGATTGGCTTTATTTATGGGTATATCACTGAACAGTTTGGCTGGACAGTTTACATAGTAATGGCTGGATTTACTATATCATGCCTGGTAAGAATATGACTTTATAGCATATATACAGAATATATTCAAAATAATCAAGTTCTGCAAAGGTTGTAGTAAACTGTACCTACAATGCAAGCACACACCCTAAAGGAATAATATACAGTAATTGATTTTTCTTTGGACAATAAATTATCAACATTTTGTTCTATATATTATTATTGCTTTGACATTCCTGTTTGTTGTTGTTGGGTGTTTGTACAATTGACTTTTATCCTGATCTTCATTTGGAGTAATTGCATAGTAATATGGAAATACTATTCTGCAAGATTCCTTAGCTTCCTTTGTACCTAAACTTAGCTGATCTAGCCAAAAAACAAGCATTTAATAGGAGTCTTGAGTTGTCCTAAATTTCTTCTATTACAGCTCACTCTGCCTCCATGGCCCATTTATCGTCGCAATCCTCTGAAATGGTTACCTGTCCAGGAATCTGCAACAGATGATAAGAAACCTGCAGACAGAAAAGTAAAGAGGCATCCTAAAAATTGAAAAACTACATCTTCTGTATGATTTTCTGTCATTAAATTTGCTTTAAAATTGATTTCTCCTCTTCCTTTACTTGGTTTGGTGTTTATGAATCTGACGGTATTACAAAACCTCTGCATACAGTTGGAGAATAAAAACTTCCTATATATTTAACTACATCCATCTACAGTATGGCAAACTTGACGATTTATTACTATTAAAAAAATTAAATATTGGAGTACCTGCATTTAATAGAGGTGTTGCTTAGCTCACAATAGTTTAGCCCAGCAATCATTTTCTAGTACATCCTGAGAGGATTAAATAAGTCATGGAAATAATTATTTTGCTGCTCCATCTACTGCAGTGGTTAAAAGTCTACTACCACTAATTGTAGAAACTTCAAATGTTTAACAATCTTAACTCTAGTCAACAATAAAATAGACCTATATCTTTAAACCAGTCTGTCAGACATTATTGCAAAATCATGTGATTAATTCTGAATCTGTGCTTAAATGGTATTTTAAATAATACATATATATATAAAAATGAAATCTTCAGGCACTTTAACGATTAGCATTTATTAAGGGATGAGATTTCATGGATTACAGTTCACTTTAACAGATGCATCATGGATGATCCAGAGTTCCAGATTACAGACTCATGAACACACGTGGCAATTATCAATTGTGATCAGTGAGAATAAATGGACACAAATCACAGCATCAGAAATCACAGTAGTATCTAAAAATACAGTGGCAAAACTTTCAACTTCTCAAACTAATTGACCTTATTTACAGTGACCTTCCTTGAATGAATGAACTTCAAAAGAAACTCCAGCATGAAGCCGCCAAATTACATTTGACATAGCAATTCAATTTTGTCACCTATGGCTTGGACCAAGATTACTAGTGCATGTGTAGATTAATTTTATCAGGCCAGAATGATTGTTTTCAATGTTTGATGCTGTAACCATTTTGCTTTTGTGTCATGTTTATGACTTTTGTATTTAATTTCGTTCTGACAGCACTCTTCTGCTTTCCCTACCCCCCATTATTCATACATACTTTTACTGCATCTGAACTGTAACCCATAATCATTTACTCCATGATAAATGCTGGTATTCTGTGAACTGGCAAAGCATTTGTTGCTTTTAAATTGTATTACTGCATGCCTTAAAAAATATGAAGAACAAAGATAATAACTCCCTGTTTTCCAGGCTTTGGAGAAAAGTTTAATGAGATAATGGCTGTGTTTGTATAACAACTATCTTTTGGGGACGCAACAGCTCCTTCCCCTTGGAGAAACTTCTGATCTGGCAGCATGATGCCATTGGCAGAATGGACAATGGCAGAATTTTCACCCTTTTTTCCTGTAGTCTTCTGGAAATCTGCTCTGTACCATTAGATTTTCTGGATTATTGGGGATGTGGTGACGGCACTGAAATGGCATCTATGCTCCTTTTCATCAACATGAGTATCCTGAGAAATTCTGCTCAGTAGATGCTGTGACCAATAGAATAAACTCCTGGATCCAATCCATTCAAAGTGGCGAGGGAGGGAGGAAGGAAGGAAGGAAGGAAGGAAGGAAGGAAGGAAGGAATTTTAGATACTGCAGTAGCTTCCTAGCAGGCCTCTCCTTTTCTACTCTTGCTCTGTTGACTCAGGTTCAAAATACTGCAGTCCAGTTTCCTTTGAATTTTCTCTTGTCTTCTCAGAGCCCTGCACTGGCTACCAATTAGGACTAGGTATCACTATGAAATATTAATTTTGGCCTTTTGGGCACTGTAGTGTGGTTCTGCTTCCTACCTATCTTCACTGTTACATCTACTCATTCAGATTCCTTGGCTATTCCCACTACACCAACAGGAAAGTTGAGGGCCTTTCAGGACCTAGTCCCACATATTGGAATTAGCACCCTCTTATTTGTCAGGTAATGAATTATTTTTTAGTCTTTAAATATGGCCTTAAAACTCTTTTCATTTGGTGAAATAATGGTGCTTCTCTGATTGGGACTTGTGGCTTTTGGACTGGCCTCAGTGATCATTTTATTTTGTGTAGTATTTAATGTTACTTGATTTGATTAGTTATATATTGTTAGTAGGTTTTATAGGGCCTAGTTTCCATTAAGAGTTTGAGTTGCCTAGGGCTGATATTAGGTTTGAATGTCTTGACTGTGTTTGTATATTCAAATTTTACTGATATTCTGTTATTTTTGTTCTATGCTTAGCTTTTCAGTGCAATATAAATAAATATCTATGACAGAGATTTTGCCATTTTGGTCTCATAAAACTAAAAATCAAGCAAGAAAACATTTAGTAGAAGGAACTTCTAATATTTCTTCTATCACTTCAAAGCCTGCAACAATTCATTCTACTTGATTTCTATGAAGCTTAAAATCTGAATGATCTAATTAAACAACCCAAAATTTATTTAAAATAATAAGAGTTATGTTTCAAGCTATATAGTCTAAGCACTCAATTTATGTTGCTTTTCCCAGTCCTGTTACTCCAAAAGCAGTTAACAGCTGCAAAGGGTGTGTCTCATATATAAAGTGTGTGTGTGTATTTGTTAGAAGAGTACATAAGAAGCCTTACAGGATTTTAAACTTTTTTTTAAAATAATGATGTACTAATCTATGTATCTAACATCGACATGCACAATACTGGTTCTGAGATATGTTGACACATACCTATATTCTTTTTCTGTATCTATATTCATATCTATATATATAGCAGTGCAACATATCTATATCCTTTTTCTGAATACAATTTGTTAGTGTATCCAATTATTCTACTTTTTTTTAGTGAAAATTCTATTCTTGGGCTGAAATCAGAGATATTCTAACAAATAGCAAATCCCAGCACAGTAGCATTATCGATTTGACTGTATGCAAGATTGCAATTTTAAAATGATTGTTGACATTGAAACAAAAAATAATTTAAGATGTTAAAAAAAGACAGAATTATTAGAAAGTGTTGCTTGTAGCTTGTATTTAAAAATCCCACTTACCCAAACTTACCTTTACACATGTATTGCTGTTTATAAGCTAAATACATTCTATAATAGGTAACAAGAAACAGTACAGGAAAAGGTTTATCTTCTACGTCACTGTATCTTAAGAAAATTTTAAAAATCAATCCAGTTACAAACTGAGTGTCTTTCTTCTAGGAAGGAACAGCTCAACTGAGGTATTTGTCAAAGCTTCACATTTTCTTCTAAGAACTTTAAATGACGGGCCTTCATGCTATAAGTTGTGTACTTTTCTCCCATGAGCTTTCGCAAACATAGCTGTATAGAGGGAAAAAATGTTATCATGTAATTCAAACATGAGTAGTACATTTAAGCAGAAATTATATGCAAAGCTGATCCTTATTAAATCCACAGATTTCAGTAAACCCAGTTTCTTCAGCAGAGTATTCCAAAGTTAACTTGTGCACATATCTGGGAAATTGCACAATTAAAAATAATAGTCAATTCACAGGACACTGAATTCAGTAACAACACTAAGACATGGTAATAGTGGAGAATATGTGTAACTCAGGGTTGAAATGTTGAGATCTTGGTGTTCACTGACCTTGCAAACATTTCACTGCCAAACTAAGAAACATCAGCAGCGCTTTGACACAAGGGAGTGGGATTTGCTGGGTTTGTAGTGTGGCAGCTTGTCCTACCTATCTTGCTTGGATTGGTTTTGTTTGTGTGCCTGTTTCTGACCGGTCTACCTGGCTTGGTTGGCTGTATAGTTTCAACTTAGTTTGTTCCTGCCTATCATGCTGGAATAGTTTGTAGACTGGGTTTATTTCTGTGGGTCTGTTAACAGATGATCTATCAGAATACCAGGCTTCTAGGAATTCTTTTGCATTCTTGGATTTGACTTGAACAAAAATTGTTTCCCAGTTGAATTTTGAACTAAAAAAGCAAAGGCCCACAAAGGAGGCAAACAATCATAGGCAGATCCACCCTTATCTCACTGCTTGCAATCAACCTATAGATATGGGAGAAGCAACACAATAGGCAGAAACAATTTAACAGGATAAAAGTTAATCACAAGCAGCTAGTTCAATTATCTCAGATTTAATGATGAATTATCTGGATTAGCTATAGTCATTTTCACCATTTATGAGTCTGAATTTCTGAAAACAAATAAATGGCTGGTATTTCTGAGAAAATTTGCAGATTAGCTGTTTTGAAACTTCTGTACTGTCCCCAAATTATATTCTCATTTCTTTATGCTAATGTATCAAAAAGAAATGTACACATTTGCTGTAAAAAAAAAACACCATACCTCTCTTTTCTGTTCATCATCTTCCTCCATGACATCGTACACCTTTTCTAGCAGCTTTATTCCAATTCCTTGAACTACATCTGCTCTTAAAATCTCAACCAATCTCCTAATATTCTGAGGTCCAGACAGTACATCTAAAATAATAAGATACAATGAATTCTATGTTTTATTTCTGGGAATTAGATAAAGCAAATTATAATTGCAGAGGTCAAGTGGAACATTTTCATTTTAATTCAGATCAATATTCCCTGGAGGTTCTCAGATTTTCTTCTTCCTTGCTTTAATATCAGCCTTCTATTCCAAATAATAAGAATTAGTGCTTGTACCATTTCTGCATATGGAATATGTTAACTGGTGCCTTTAAAATGGGATTGGAGAGGAATATGTTGCTTTTCTTCTGACTTAATAAATGTTTCTGTTGTTAACGCTAAAGCAGAAAGTCTAATCTGAATATCACCAGTTTCAAGCATGATGTACAGACCTGAAGGAAGCTCTTGAAACTGAAATTCATCTGGTTCTTCAGCTGCTTTCCTGTGTAAGATCAAGGTGTCCCTGTATTTCCTATTTAGCCTGAATTGTGATTCAGGTCCTGGCATTGCAAATTGTGAATAATTTTCAATATTATCCATTTTTAGCGTTTGCGTCATCAGCTGTACCAAGTCATTCATCTCATTACTTTTTCTGCAAAAGGAGAAAAGATTCCAGCATATTCCAAAACATACGTAGTCCGAGAATTTTAATGGCGAACTATTTAAACTTAGTACAGTGGTACCTCGGTTCACAAACTTAATTCGTTCCGCGACTCTGGTCGCGACCCAAATTGGTCGCGACCCGAATCAAATTTTCCCATAGGAGTCGTGGAGGC